CATTACTCCAGTCTTCAGTGTCACATGATCTTCAGAAATCATTCTAATATGCTGATTTGCTGCTCAAGAATCATTTCTGATTATTATCAATGTTGAAAACAATTCGATAAATCTTTTTTCAGGATTCTTTGATGAATGGAAAGTTCAAAAGAACATTAGAAATCTTTTGTAACATTATAAATATATTGTATTTTTTAATCAATTTAATGTGTTCTTGCTGAATAAGAAGTTTTCATTTCTTTCAAAACAGAATCTTACAGAAATTGTGTTTCTGGACAATGCACAATTCATTTTATAATGAAAATTAATGGTGAGCAGTGGCTGTCAAGGTCCTAAAAGCATTAAGCGAAGATCAGAGAATGCATGAATTATGTAAAAAAATTAAAAAATCATTTGAATGCATTGTAAAATGCTTTGGATTAAAATCATCAGCCAAATATAAATGTAAAGTCTTATGGGAGTATCTCTATATGACAGGTGAGAGATTATTAACATTAGCCAAAATGGAAAATAATTTCAAAAGTTACAATCTGATCCATTCTGATGAATACTTATTAACTCAAACACTGTATAGAATAATGCACACTGAAGGTGAATGATACACAATAAGACCAAGGACATGTTTTAAGAAAGTACATTTTGATTTCATGATGAACTCATTTAAGTGACATTTACCTTGCATATTTCATATTTAGCCCTGTAAATCCATGGGACAGCCGCACTGCTGGGTAAAAGAGAACGCAGATGGTGGCTGGTGTTTGAATCCAGTCGTTCACAGCAGGGCATGTTCTCTTTCAGGTACTTCTCTATTATTCGCTGGGCCGCGGTCTGTCTCTGTGCGCAGACTGGATCTTCTCCTTGTGCTTTCAGAACCAGCTGGAGGAAAAAGTCCAGATCCTCCAAGAGATCCAGCATCTGCTGCTTTTCCACCAGGTCTTGGGCTCTCAGATTAGACCTAAAAGGACCTGCAGCCAGAGCCTCGGCAGACAGGGCCGGCTGCAGATAGCAGTGGACATCTGATGGTGGAGTATGAACGTTCACACGGCAGGGGATCTGACATGCCGGGGTTTGGGCGCATGTGTGATGGACAATAGCTTGGACAGAGGTTTCTGTATTACTTTGAGGAGGATGTGCTATGTTTGAACACTTTAGATCCTCCTGGCCGGCTGGAGGAAGCCACAAGCAGATGCTGTTGGACTGTGAACGGACTGTGTTCGGCTTACATGAACTCCACAGGAGCCGTTTGCTGCGTTTACTGCAGTAGGATTTAGCAGGGCTCAGCGTGGGATTCGTCTTGCACCGGACACGCTCACGTGAGGAGGGCGATGGAGCAGGAGGAGAGGAAAAAGATGTGTATTTCTCTACAATGGGCTGACATTCAGGCACACGCCACAGCCAGGATTTACAGCAGTGTAGGAACTGAGGAAGCCAATACGACTGCAGCCGGCACAGAGCTTTCTTTCTCATCTCTGCCAAAACACGCTTCTGAGCACTAAGTGGGTGTTCCTTGGCCAGAAGCTCAGTCATGTCCTCTAAAAAAAAAATACAATATGATGAAATATTCAGTAATTAGTACGGACGAAATTAAAAGACAAAAAAAAAAATCATTATACCGTTCAAAAGATTGGAGTAAGAATTATTTTAAAGAAATTAAAACTTTTTTTTCCCAGCAAAGACACATTAAGTTGATCAAGAGTGACAGTAAAGACATGTCTACTATTATAAAGATGTCTATTTCAAATGCATGCTATTATTTTGAACTTTTTGTTCATCAGAGAATCCTGATTTTTTTTTTTATCAGGATTTCCGCAAAAATATTCAGTAGCACAACTGTTTTCAACATTGATAATAATCAGAAATGTTTCTTGGGCAGCAAACAGGGTTATTATCACAAACTAAAACTAAAAATATTACAACTATTTTTGTTAATTGAAATAAAGCTGAAATAAAATAAAATATAAATACGGAAAAAAGGAATGAATTAAACTGAAATACATTTAATTTGAAGCACTAAAATCACTAACTGGAAATAAATAAAAACTAAAACTGAACTAAATCTGAAATAAAAAAAAACGTTAAACCTAAATTGTAATATTTAAAAAGATTCATATTTAAAACAAAATCTGACAAAGGCACATAAAATGTTACTAAAAATAAACTAAAATCCAAATGAAAACTACAAATATAAAATAACAGCTAATTCATAATATTAAAGTTATAATAGTATATAAATAATACTAAAATAAAAAATCTGGCACCAAATGAGCATATTAGATGGATTTCTAAAGGACCACTGAAGACTGGAGTAATGATGCTGAAAATTCAGCTTTGATCACAGAAATAAATTACATTTTACAATATAATCACATAGAAAGAAATAAGTAATAATATTTCACAATATTACCGTTTGTTTTGTATTTTTGATCAAATAAATGCAGCCTTGGTGAGCAAAACAGACTCTTCTTTCAAAAACATTAACAAATCCTTCCGACCCCAAACTTATGGTAGTGTAATCCTACAAACAATAGAACAGAAATAGTGTGGTATTTAAGGGAAGAGGAGAGAAACACATGCACTGCCTTACCTGCGTGTATATGGCAGACAGACAGGATGGCAGAGCCTTCGCTCAGGTGACAGAGTCTGATCGCTTTCTGAAGTGCTTGATGATTCAAAGTCTGAAACGCATCTTCATTTTTTTCTTCTTTCATACTCAACATCATGGACACTCTCACACAGAACAGAAGAAGCTCCTCCTCTGCTCGAAAACACATTACACATGTAGCATAAGCACTGGCAAAATTTCGTTTTCATTAATTTATTTTGGCATTTTTGCCTATCTTCAGTTGGGACAGTATGGAGGGCAGAAAGCAAAGCTATTGGCTCTACTAGTTTTCATTTTATATGTAAATCTGATGTAAAAACTTGAGTCTAACTGCAGAATTGGAGGTCTTGTAAAATTAAACTGGTTTGGATGCTGAATGAATTTAAAAGGAATTCAGTGTAAATCAGTGCAGTCTCACACCAGCAGTGGTCTTGAGAAACGAACGAAATCTCTGGATTCCCCTCACGCTGCCAAGACACTTCCTTAACAGCCACTGGTCTGCCAGAGTACATTTCAAATCCTCTGAAAAAAAAGAAAAACTAATACTATATATTAAAGGAATAATTCACCCAAAATGAAAATTTCCTGAAAACTGAATCACCGTTAGGCCATCCAAGCTTGTTTCTTCATGGGAACAGATTTGGAGAAATGTAGCATTCCATCACTTGCTCACCAATGGATCCTCTGCAGTGAATGGGTGCCGTCAGAATGAGAGTCCAAACAGCTGATAAAAACATCACAATAATCCACAAGTAATCCACACCACTTCAGTCCATCAGTTAACGTCTTGAGAAGTGAAAAGCTGCATGTTTGTAAGAAACAAATCCATCATTAAGAAGTTTTTAACTTCAAACTGTTGCTTCTGGCTAAAATATGAGTCCATAATATTGCTCTTTCCACTGAAAAAGTCATCTGGTCTGATTTAGGAGAGAAATATCACAGATCAAGAACCGTTTACAATCAAAAACAGTCCAAAACAGCTCTAAAAAAATATGTGGGTGAATTTTAATCTGAGAGACAACATGCAGGCAATAGACTTTTCCAATGGAGGAAGCGTTATTATGTATTATGAACTTGTTTTATTGGCCAGAAATGATGGTTTAAAGTTAAAACATCTTAATGATGGATTTGTTTCTTACAAACATGCAGCTTTTCACTTCTCAAGACGTTAACTGATGGACTGGAGTGATGTGGATTACATGTGGATTATTGTGATGTTTTTATCAGCTGTTTGGACTCTCATTCTGACGGCACCCATTCACTGCAGAGCATCCATTGGTGAGCAAGTGATGCAATGCTACGTTTCTCCAAATCTGATGAAGAAACAAACTCACCTACATCTTGTAGATGGCCTGAGGGTGAGGACATTTCCAGCTAATTTTAATTTTTGGGTGAACTATTCCTTTAATGTGACCCACACCAGACAACTTTCATCATACAAGCATATTACCTGTGGATTTACAGGATACAAAGTCAAGGATCTCTGTGCAGAGAATGAAATTGTGATAGAGCTCGGTTTGTTTGAAGTAAACCATCCGATGTGTGTCTAACCATTTCAGAAATGCTCCAGTGTTCACCTGACAGTAAATATGTTTACAGATATTAGATGTTTTGGCCAACAGCTATGGTGGTCTGGTTAATATTCTCATAAATAACATCCTAACGTTACCTGAGCAAAGGGCACATTTGGCCACATTAACCACTTGTTTTCTTTGAGCATGTAGAGAGGGGTTTGCCCAAACACCTAAAAACAGGACAAACATGTATGATCATTTCAGGATTTCAACAGCACATTAAAGATATGGAAATGAGGAGCATCATCTTACTGGAAGACTTAGAAATGTATTGAAGAAATCCACAAAAACTTCATCTTTCAGGAGAATCTTGAGCTCCATGTTGTTGTTTTTCTCTGCAAATATGTGTTGATGAACTTCAAGATTATTTTAATCGACAACTTTGGTACCCTTGCAATGTATTCGAGGTGTGCTAGTTGGGTTTAATAAATGTTACAGCTGTTGGTTGTGTTTCTGGTTTGTTCATAACTTACCCTGTTGATCAGCATGCTTTCCTCTGGTTTGCTGTGGTCTCATTTCTAACTTGTTAAAAATTATGGTTAAGCAATAGTTTTTTTGTTGCCTTGGCAACGCTTTTATTTACTCTTCTTCTGCTTAGAACCGTTGTACTGTTAGTTTTATTTTATATGCTGCCAAATTAAATAAATACAAATCTAAATACAACGTTTATCTGCCAGACTTAGGCTCTCACCACTGTGGTCGAGATATGTTTTAGAATATAGTGTTGTTATATAATTAATATTTAATTTATTTCATAACCAGCTTAGCAGCAGGATTAATTATTATGTGCGACTATGCATTGTTATTATTATGTAGAAGCGCACACACGTGTGTGTCGTCACATCCGGTCGCGGCCTCCGCATCGGTCTTCCGCTTCCTTGAAGGAGTCTGTCAGCGAGCTGCGGGACCAGAGACGAAACACACATCATTTCAGCTACCGGAGACCGAATTAAACTATATTTCTGCACTCTGAACTCGAAGTAAACATCTTTAGCTTCTTCCCGCCGTGAATGGATCATGGAGTGTGTAAGTAGTGCGAGTTTAAACTGAGACAGAAGTTGGTTGACGTCGAGAGACTGTTAGACTAACGGCGGGTTTTGTTTATTATTGTGTTTATGTGTTATAATATGCAAGATAGCTAATATCGGCTATTATGTTAAGATAGAGCGCTAAGCGTTATTAGTAGGGTGACTCTTGTGTCGTGTAGTATTTTCCATTCATATGAAGCCAGTTAACGTACACTTCGTTAACTTACGTTAGTGCTGTGCTGCTAGTTAACTGCTGTTACACTAGTAAGTTACTGAGTTTACTACACTAGTCTACTGCAGTTACTATAATCCTGCACAAATTCACTGCAGTTACACTAGAACTCTAGTATGAATTTACTTAAATTTGCTGTTGTTACTTAAGTACAGTCAGTTCTGTTGCTTTTACACTAGTAGTGCTTAGGGATATGCCGGTATCAAATTTTGCGATTAATTGCTAATGCTGTTATCACGGTATACGGTATTATCACGATATTGAAATTTCGAAATGAAATGTCATGATGCAGTATAACAGGTTTAATAACTTTTTTCTTATAACAAAAATAACTGAACATTTAAATGCAATAAAGCAATACAGAAAAATGTATAAAGTTAAAAGTTTTACACAGATTAAAGTGCAAAAGAACTATACAGACCAATAGGTATCACTTTACAATAAGACCTCATTAGTTAACCTTAGTTAATGCATTAACATTCACAATGAGCAATAGCTACATTTGCTACAGAACTTATTAATTATTAGTTATTAAGTCTTAGTACATGTTAGCTCATTAAATAACACAGTTGCAACTTTCGATTTTAACAACGTGTTATTAAATATTGGAATACCTAAGATTAATGAATGTTCAGAAGAATTTTTCATTGGCAGTTTATGTTAACTAATGAATTAACTAATGTTAACTAATGAAGCCCTAATGTAAAGTGTGACCGAACAATAAAGAATCAAAACACTTTCAAACAATATCTAGGGCATGTTGTAGTCCAGATTAAAATGTAAAAAAAGTCGTGCATATTCATCACCGTGATATATCGCATTACCGAATACCGGCACAAGTCTAGTAGTGCTTTAGTGTGCTGTTGTTAGTACAGTATTTATCTTATTATCAGTGTTTATCTTAACAATGTTCGAGCTAGTAAGCTGTCAAGTTTCTCCCCTCACCTCACTGATATCTGTCAGCTTTCTCAGTTATTGGTTAATTAATAGGTAAAGCAAAACTAGTCGGGAACAGACAGCACAAGCTTTGAGGTTAAACTCTAATTGTCTGGAACTATATTGGAGTTAAAAAAAAGAGTTAATTAATGTATAACAACTTCAGTACTTTAAAGCGAGCAGAACTGTCCTGCTGTTAAATCCTCTGGCTAATATGTATTCACTAGATACATTTGAGCCTTTGGTTAGTTGAGTGTAACAACTCGAATTCAACTTATTGTTAACCCTCTCCTAACTCTACTGTATTTTATTTGATATACAAATTTCTAAGGCCCCTAAATGATCAACATGATCAAAACGTTGCTGAAAGTCCTGTTGGACACAATTTACTACATGCTTTCTGTTGTCTGATTGATAGTTTAAGTAAAAAGTCTTTTAGTATCATTTTACAAAGTCCACCTTCAGGTTGTGCATGTGTCTTTTTGTTGTGAAATCTTTACTGATATTTAGCCTATTTAATAATAAATGCAAAAATAACTGATATTGTTAGTAATATTTCAAAATGAACACTTACTGGACTGAAGCAACTTAGCTGTAATTGAGCAATAAGTACATGCATAACTTTTTATGCAAAATCAGTGAGTATCAAATATGATCATCAGGCTTTTGAGTCATTTTGTTATATTTTGTCTAAAGGTTCAATAAGCATCCCTTTAAAACTGTGTTTTTTCTAACTATTATTTCATGTGTCAGGATTTACAGGGTTAATCATCAAGAACTTTTATCAGAAAAATTATCACATTTGTAAAGGAAAAATGAAAGTGAGCTTTGAATGTTCACACATCTGTTTTTCAGGTTCCTGCTGTTCTAGATGAGTTGGATGGTAAAAAGGAGACGCACATAGAGGGTAAGAATGTGAATAAATAAAGATGATACTGTAGTCCTGCGATGACCTGCAGCTCATGTGCGAGATATGAAAGCAGAGCCGAGCAGGGCTTTGACTTCAGTGTTTGGAGTGAAATCTGAGACTAAAGTGACAACAGAAATATGATCCAGTGACATTTTGTTCTCTGACACTTTTTCTCTCATATTTCAGTGGTTGTTATTAAATGCTTGTTTATGATTGAATGATTTAGACCAGGGCTGTCCAAACTCGGTCCTGGAGGGCCGGTGTCCTGCAGAGTTTAGCTCCAACTTACCTCAACACACCTGACTGGAAGTTTCTATGCCTAATAAAGAGCTTGATTAGCTGGTTCAGGTGTGTTTAATTAGGGTTGGAGCTAAACTCTGCAGGACACCGGCCCTCCAGGACCGAGTTTGGACAGCCCTGATTTAGACTATGCTTTTTCAAGCATTAAAGTAGCAGATTATTCCTTTTTGTTTTTCCCTTTATTTCAAACCAGATCCTGAGTATAATGTGTACACCCGCTTCATGAAATCCCACCGCTGCTATGACCTGGTGCCCACCAGCTCAAAGTTGGTGGTGTTTGACACTTCTCTACAGGTTGGTGATCAGAAGAAATCAAATGAAGAGTTCATTTGCAAAAACAGATAACTCCATTTTTATTTATTTTCAGAAATCAGCTACCAGTAGCTGCTCGCATTAAATTCAAGGCATTAATGTTTGCCTACAAAACCAGCACTGGCTCTGCACCCATTTACCTAAATTAATTACTTCAGAGTTATGTGCCCTCTAGAAGCTTGCGTTCTGCAAGTGAACGGCATATTATTGTGCCATCTCAAAGAGGCACAAAATCAATAAATAAATCATGTTTTTTATTTTTTTTTATTGTGCATTCAGCTAGCGTCTTTTCAAAGTGACTGGCAGCCTGGTCACCTGACCTGAATACACTGCGCTGATTCGCTAAAATGGACTTATCGGCTTCTGTTCACAAACAACAAGGGTGCTTGTCGGCTTCTGCTGTAAAATGTGAACTCGCGAAGCCTTGAAAGTGGACAATACCGGCTTTCTTGACAAAACGTGTTTAGGGTTCAGATCGCGCTGTGTGTAGAGAATAATGTACGGCACTTATAGTTTTTGCAAATGAACTCTTCAAATGTTGCTAAATGTGCAACCTTGTTTACAACCTATTAATTTCCGTAATATCACACATTTCTGTGTGAAACAAAACAAAAAACAAACAAACATGATTTTACTCATTAAAAGAATAGTTTTCACCCAAAAATGAAGGTTTGCTGAAAAGGTGCTTAAACTCAGGCCATCCAAGATGTAGATGAGTCTGTTTCTTCATCAGAACAAATTTGGAGAAATGTAGCATTGCACCACTTGCTCACCAATGGATCCTCTGCAGTGAATGGGTGCCGTCAGAATGAGAGTCCAAACAGCTGATAAAAACATCACATTAACCAGAAGTAATCCACACCACTCCAGTCCATCAGCTAACATCTTGTGAAGTGAAAAGCTGTGTGTGTCTGTAAGATAGAAATCCATCAAGATATCACCAGCTGTTTGGACTCTCATTCTGACGGCACCCATTCACTGCAGAATGGATCCATTGGTGAGCAAGTGATGGAATGCTACATTTCTCCAAATCTGATGAAGAAGCAAACTCATCTAAATCTTGGATGGCCTGAGGGTGAGCACATTTTCATGTTTGGATGAACTATTCCTTTAATTAATTAGGTCATGTAAAGTGTCCGTTCCACACCAGAATACAGCAAGACTGAATGTGCATTTGCTAAAACTATGCCTAAAAAGCATTTTGTAACATTATTTATATAACAAGTGATGTTAGCAGGAAAGGTACATTGTTTAAGAGATAACACATTATTACTTTCTGATAAAATGGAATTAACATGCATACACACAAAATATTTGGAATGATATGAATAATTGATATTAGAATCAGGCACATGGGGTCAGTATTAATTTCATGTTGACTCTAGGGGTTGGATAAATTTGCTCTGTACTTCGTGTCAACATTCATGACATGTAAGCTGTCCGAGTGCCTGCTGGTTAATTTGTGATTGTATGGTTACCAGGTGAAGAAGGCGTTCTTTGCTCTAGTGTCTAATGGAGTGAGAGCAGCGCCTCTCTGGGACAGCAAGAAACAATGCTTTGTTGGTAAGCAAGTTTTTTTTTTTTTTTTTTGGAAGTGTAAATATAATGTGATCGTTTGATAAGATTAAACTGCATTAACAATAAATTCATATTACATAAAGAAAATCATTAAGGGTAGATTGGATCCATTGTAATTTGAATGGATCATTGGATCAAGTTAGACTGTGTAGTTATTATTTTTCCCTATCCATGTGGCTTTGATTGCATCAGCAACAAAAAGAAAAAAAAAATTCAGATGTGGAGCAAGTTATTACTTTTTTTTTTGTGTGTGTGAAAGATTATGTACACAACCATTTTTGGGATTTGGGATCAGTTAGATTTTTTTCCACATCAGATTAGTCAGTGACAGTAAAGGCATTTAGAAGAGGCTTGATTCAAAAACATTGAAAAATCTTACTGAACTCAAACTCTGAAATGGTGTAACAATAATAATAATAATAATAATATAAAAATGTAATTATAATTAAATAACTAATTTACAATCATTTATTGTTATTGGAACAAATGTCTTGAAAGTAATTCTAATTTAACTTATGTCTTGTTTTCTTTATTTGCTTTCTATTGTAGGTATGCTGACCATCACAGATTTCATCAACATACTTCATCGCTATTACAAGTCTCCTCTGGTAAAATTAGTTAAGACTGTTATTCTCCCATTGATGTCTTTTTGAGGAACCTTTAAAAATGTTATGTTTTTTTTTTTTTTAGGTCCAGATATATGAATTAGAAGAGCACAAAATAGAAACATGGCGAGGTGGGAATAATTTTATGTGTATTCATGAGGTTTACACTCTGATATGTGAGCCTGTGACTGATCTATCTTTTTCTTATAGAGGTCTACTTACAAGACTCCTTCAAACCTCTCGTCAGCATATCGCCCAATGCCAGGTAAGAGTTTGTAAGCGTGCATATTGAATGGGTTTTGTTAGAGAGTTGTGATTATGTCTGATGTTTTTCTCTCTCTGTCTCTCAGCCTATATGATGCTGTCTCATCTCTACTGAAGCATAAGATCCACAGATTACCCGTCATTGATCCTCTAACAGGAAACACACTCTACATCCTGACACACAAGAGGATCCTCAAATTCCTGAAGCTCTTTGTAAGTTTCCTGCCCTGTGACCGCTCACTGAATGTTTCCTGTGACACATGACCTTAAGTATAGACATTCATTTATTTGGCAGTGGTCTGTCACGGAGCGCTTGCTGTAACTCTGTCACAACTTTTTAAGCAACTAGTGCCAAATTTCCCCTTTACTCATTTATTGGCACAACTTGGAATTTTGTTTTCTTTCTAGAATGCATAATCTTCATGTTTATGTAAATGATCTCCCACAGATATCTGAGATGCCCAAGCCTGGGTTTCTGTCTCAAACGCTGGAGGAGTTGAACATCGGAACGTTTCACAACATCGCAGTGGTTCACTCGGATACGCCGCTCTACGCCGCGCTCGGCATCTTCGTGGATCAGAGAGTGTCTGCCCTTCCTGTGGTGGATGAAAATGGTGAGAGGAAACTAATATATTACCTCTTATATATTGTAAATTACAAATCTGTGGTTTTATTTTCTTCCTCCTCACTTTTCGTGGTTTTTCTCTTCGTTTATGCCGACAGGACATGTGGTCGACATCTACTCCAAGTTTGATGTTATTGTAAGTTTTGTGTGTTTGTCTGTTGTTTCTAACTAGAGCGCTGGACATTGAGCTGTGCTGGTGGTGTTAGATTATTGAATGTGTGCGTGATGGTATTTCTGTTTCGATTGGACTCAGCGTGTCTAAAGCCTCTGGTGTTTGTCGTATTGATCAGCTTGAGGGAATGCAGCCACTGCAGTGCATGATCTCATACTCGTGATGCTGTGTGTGTGTGTGTGTTTTTAACAGTATGTCCTTAGTTTAATATCTTACAGGAATAGTTCACCCAAAAATGAAAATTTGCTCATTCAAGATCTATCCAACATGTAGATGAGTTTGTTTCTTCATCAGATTTGGAGAAATGTAGCATTCCATCACTCACTCAGCAATGGATGCTCTGCAGTGAATGGGTGCCGTCAGAATGACAGTCCAAACAGTTGATAAAAAACATCTCAAGGAACAAATCAAAAATATGAGTCCATAATAACGCTTCCTCCCGTTAAAAAGCCCATCTCCTGTTGTCTCTCACATCAAAATCCACACACATATTTGTTTAGAGCTGTTTTGGACTGTTTTGACGCGTAAACGGATCTGTGCAGATTTCTCTCCCGATTCAGACCAATACCATTTTTTCACAAGCGAAAGCAGTATATTATAGATAGATTTTTAAATTTTAGGGTGAACTATTCCTAAAGTCTCTGTGTTTGTGTCTCAATCTGGTTTTCTTCTCATCACGCAGAATCTGGCCGCTGAGAAGACATACAATAACCTGGACATCACTGTGACTAAAGCCCTCCAGCATCGCTCGCAGTATTTTGAGGGTGTGCTCACCTGCCGAGCCAATGAGACGCTAGAGGCCATTATCAACCGACTGGTGGAGGCCGAGGTGAGGAACACATTCTGTTCAAATGTTTGGGGTCTGTAGGATAAAAAAAAAAAGTAGTCTCTTCTGCTCACCAAGGTTGTATTTATTTGATCAAAAATACAGTATAAACAGTAATATTGTGTATTATTATTACAATTTAAAATAGCTGTTTTCTATGTGAATATATTGTAAAAATGTAATTTATTTCTGAGATGAAAGCTGTATTTTCAGCATCATTACTCCAGTCTTCAGTGTCACATGATCTTCAGAAATCATTCTAATATGCTGATTTGCTGCTCAAGAAACATTTCTGATTATTATCACTGTTGAAAACAGTCACTTTTGATCAATTTAATGTCCTTGGTAAATAAAAGTTTGAATAAAAAAATGTTAAAAAACTTGTGTGTGTGTTTTCAGATGGTTTTGATTTGACTGATGAATAAAACATAAAACTTTCAGTTGTGCATGTATATTTGGATGGACAGATGAAGATGTAGCTCACTGTCTGATCATGTAATCATACAGACTGATGTGTGTGTGTGTGTGTTAGGTTCACAGGTTAGTGATCGTGGATGAGCAGGAGGTTGTGAAAGGCATCGTGTCTCTGTCTGATATCTTACAGGCGCTGGTGCTCACCAGTGGAGACGATGGTAAGACTGCATTATGATATTGTCAAGCATTAATGCTCATATTCTGTAGTTTCAATGGAACACGAAAGAATCTTTATATATAACCTTTTCCAAATGACAGTTTAATGGCTGTCAAACTCCGAAAAACACCAAAATGCACTTTTTTTTATAGTTGACTGTATGACTTCAGTTGTTAAGAATCAAATCTAAATTTTAGCCGTTCATTTTAAATCCTACAGGTAATGCTAGTTGGACTGATTCATTTTTGGTCGATTGTTTTGATCTGTTGACAGCCTTTCCTTTGTTTTCCTCTTCAGGAAGTGCTTGATGGAAGTAGAGACAAGTGAAGCAGAACGTCTCTGTATTTCCTCTTCTCTCAATAAGCCACAAGGTGTTCCAGATAAAGGATTGATAGAGATGACACACAACCATCCCAAACACAGGAGATACTGAAGCACAACCGATTACAGAGTGAAGAAAGAGACATGCTGAGAAAAGACATTGCTCTTCTAAGAACAAACTCTTTTAATCATAGAGCCTCCGTACTGCTTCAGGGAGTCTATCGTTTTAATTGGACAGAATTCAAATGATTTTAATGTCACTCGGCACAGTTCTTGCTGACGTGTCAGCCGTCGTTCAAGTTATTTCCCTCACAGAAGGACAGCAGATGAGCGCTGGAAATGCAGATGAGATGTTTGTGCAGGTGTTTAAGTTTCAGTGGAGAACAAACCGAGTATGGACTGAAAGATTCCGTTATTGATCTGGTAGCACAGCGTTTTTCTATCATGTGGGCATTTGAAATTGAAGAGTTTAATCTGAATCGGTCTGTTTCCACACTACACACTGATGCAGTATTCAGAGGAAGTTTGATTGCTTTATTCGGATCCAGTTTCTCTGAACATCAAACCAGAGCCATTTCAACTTCCTTTATAATGTGAACATGGAGCGCTTTGCTAAAATGTTTTTAAATTAACCATTGAATATTTATAGCATTGGAAAAACAATTACAGCTCCAGAATATTATCATAGATACATTTTGTTTATCTTTGATTTTCCCTGTTGTTCTACGGCTGATGCAGACGTGTGTTTTACTTCTAGGTTGCTCTTAACATGTTGCTACTGATTTTTTTTCAGCTGCATGATCTCAGTGGCTTTTATCAATGCATTGACGTGAAGAGAAAGCAGAGTGTTTTTATAGATAACACATTAGAAGCTCTCATGAGAAACCGCCACTGATCTCCTCTGTCAGCTGTGCATTATGGGTAAATTGTGATGTCATTTCAGTTAGATATGCTTCCACAATTAGCTGTTGATGTAATTTGACTAAATATTTACCACAGCGAAGATGAAAATGCTTGTTTTTCATTTTTGTAACCCATCATGAGAAACATCACATCGACTTGCACTTCTCGTTTTTATTGTAGCTAGTTTTGCTATGAGAAGAGATCATTCCATCATTTTATTGAAATATATTTTGCTCTCTGTAATAATTTTTATGCCACACATCTGTAAATACACCTGAACTGTTTTCTAATTCTCTCATGTCAAAGATGTTTTATTCAAGGCACAAGCAAATAAAATCGGTTTAGTTTATCAGTTGAGTTGCATTTCTTACTTTGGATAAACCGAGCACTTATGTGGATTCTTTAATGAATAGAAATGTCAAAAGAACAGCATTTAATTGAAATAGAAATATTTTATTACACTACAAATGTTTTACTGCCACTGGTTTCATGCATCCTTGCTGAATAAAAGTATGAATTTACTTTTGCTTTGACTTATTTTTCATAAAAACCTTTGCCGAACATTGTGAAGATCACAAATGACACTTGTCTTCTAATATTCTTGGGCATCTAAAAAATATATTTTTTTTCTTTTTTGATAATCATACATCCATGTCAAAGAAAGTCATAAATTAGTCTGTCATTGCTGTTACTAATAGTGCCAATTAATTTCCAGTGTGCATAAAATTAGTAATAGTATGTTTCGTCCAGCGAAATTACTCAAAAGCCTCATTTACAGCAACATTTCACTTTTAAAGCATCTGTAAAGCTTCTGAAATCTCTTAAGATTTAAAGTCTTTAAAAAGCAAACAATTGTGATTTTTATATTTCGAAACTTGAATTTTATGAGAACTTGAAAAAGTTACAAGAGCACATTTTCACTTCTACTTGAACATTATCAGGTTGAAGTATTTATCTAAAGTCTGTGATTTGACTGCATTATCTTTATTTGGCTCTAAAACATGTCAAACAAAAATATAAAAAGTCACTTTATTAGATGAAAGCTGCATTTCTATTTCTAATTTCCCTTTGCGATCGAGCTGAACTAGTTTTGCATTATAGCTAGCCGATGAACTCTTGATGCTCCCTCAGGCTTTATTCCAGTTCAACCAGTTTTGAATAAACGTCTTGTGTAAATGTCATGTTTTCTATAGTTTGAACAAGTTATTGAATTACACTCACCATATTTACATTGTTAAAAGTTCTGAAGCAGGAATGAACACATGACAAATGTAGGAAAACCTGTATTTATTACCATTTAATAATTACCCATGTACATGATTGGAAACTGAAATTCCTGAAAAGTCTCTCCATGTAGATTTGGGAAATACACTCGGATTATACAGGTCGGCTGTGAGGTCAGATGATTGAGGAAACTTCCTTATGCTAAACCGGGACTAAGACGTAAAATCCCACTGTCGCCCTCGTTTAGCTGTTATAATTAGCCGGGCGACAAACATCTCCACTACAGTCAGCAGACGTTTATGAAGCCCAAATCCTGCCAGCAGCGACATGCTTTCTGGAAACTATAAATACATGTACAAACCGAACTCGACAGTAGAAACAAATACAGATCAAACCCGAACACTTATTCCCAGTTCAAGATGATTTTCTCAATCAGCAGCCGATGTGCCAGTGTCGTCTTATATTTCTCAGTAGTGTTGTGACTCAATCCAGTGTTACGAATACATTTCACATGGTAGCTTGTCATTTTGGATCTACATAAACATAACATGAAAATATAATCTAAAGAAAGCATTAACATGTTCTTCCAACTATATGCAATCATTTTTGGCTTTTTCTGGACACATTTTAATAGTGTAAGGTGACTGAATTGTTGCAAATGGACGAAGGAGAATAACAGTACTTGTTCAGATTGTCAAAACACAAACTCGAGACACCAGGTCCAGTGAAACTGGGAGATAAAATCTAATTCAATGAAAGACCACCGACCAAAAACCCTGTGCAGCTGCTTCAAGACCTACTGTTAAAAGCGCTATACGAATAAAACCTGAATTAAAAACGAGTCACATTAAAAAACAAACCACAAAACAGAACCACACAATTGTCTACTGAATCAAATCGGATTAATAAAAAAGGTCATACATTATAGAAACTATATTTACATCTTGCATATTAAGCGGACAGAGGAACAGAAGGGCAGTAGTATTTATCCATGGAGTACGAGAGAGAGAGACATAATGTCTGTCAGGAGTCATAAATACAGTGTAGTAGGAGTAAAGCAGTGTGCCTCGACGCCAAACTTTTCAAGTTACATTTTCAAGTCGTTCTCCTCATTACAGACCCAGTGCATGAAGAAGAATCAGATCTATTTCCTAGGATCACGTCGTAATGTCACTTGCGGCAGGAGCCGCAAAAAAATTAAAATCCTGTCATTTTTCGCCCTAATGATGCTCCAAACCTGCATGACTTTTTCTTGCATTGGACAAGTTCATACAAACCTTTGTCTTGCAATTAAATTGCATGAATAAAGTATCACAGATGTAGTTCATATGAATTCAGAGAACTTTGAATATAGCATAAAATCATATTTTTGATTTGAGCAGCTTGCACATTCTGCTCAATATGTCCTTTTGCGTTTTACAGTAAAAATTCCATCATACGGGTTTGGAGCGATATGAGGACGATAAACGATGAACGTTCTTATGTTTGCATGAAATATTCCTTAAAAAACAAAACAGTCCCAATGCTCCTCAGTTAATAAAATGTGTGTCATTATAGTGTCATTTAATGCTACAGTGACAGGTTTAGCTATGAAAAACAAAGTTTAACAAAAACCTGTACTTTAGCCACCGCTTCCGCTGACCCGTACAGCTTCACATCTCTCATGTTCCTACACGATCAAACCTTTAGCTTAGTCGAAGGACTTGGAAATTAAAAAAGGGTAAGCTATTTACATTTCCATACTTTTAAAAAATATACTATATACAGTAGCTTTGTTTGCCCACGGAGGAGAGGAGGAAATCTAATGGCGATAAAAAAATAAGGACATATGAAGGATCTACGAGCTAAAATAAATAGATATCTCCGTACCGTTCAGTAGTAAGAATAGACGCGTGTGCCAGTGTGTGATTCCTAAACCAAGATGGCTATAATCCACTTCACGCTCACAAAACCCCTGGGATAAAGTGCAAATAAGGTTGCTTTGCTAACAGCTTTGACGTGGTAATGAAAGGAATCAGCTGATCATGTCGGTCGCTAGCAGTGCCATCTTGCACCAATTCACCGCGCTTACCAGCTCAACCTGGACTTTGTGTATTCTACATAGTTAGTTAACCGAGGTAGTCTGCTAGACTGACCTAAGTGGATGCAACAAGCCGGTTAAAACTGCTTAAATATGAGCGGCTCTGGTTGGAAAAATTATCTTTGGGGCGAAACTGATTTGATCAGAATCCATCGAGTCACATGTCCATTTTGATTGGCGAGCTGGGCGATAGTGGTAGTAGATGTAGCGAGGAGGAGGAGAGCACAGAGGGCTGTTGGGTACCGTAGGTTCAGTAATTTTGGCGGTGGGGTGAGGTAGGCCCCATCCCGACTCAGTGGACGGAAATACTTTTGAACTGGCAGGATAGTTTCGAGTGGTCGCATGTCTGTACACGTTCTCTTTGCTAGGAGTGTTTCTGGCAGAAGGTAGTGTTTCGCTCAGATTTTCATGTCTTCGTCCACGCTGAGCTGAGACAGGGTTTTCTTGATGCGGAGAGCCGTCAGTCGCGCAGCGCCGTTAGCGTACCAGCACTCCCGCATGATCTTCCCCATCACACGCAACGCCTGCGGGAACAAGAGCCAATTTACCACGCGAGTTCATATCAGAGCAAACAGGCTTTTTGTTTTCACACTCTTGTGTAATAATGCAGCACTTCTGACATACAGGGTGTCACATTCCTTTGACACAAACAAAATAAAATATCTATTGTAAAATAACAAAACAGCAATAATTTTCTGTCAATCAAGTTTGATCAGACTTTCTAAATCAACAAATGTTGTCAAACTCATTCAACCCTGTCCATCCAACATGTTACTAAGTTATTTAGGGGAAAAAAAATCTTTATTTGATATGAAAGCATAATATATGTTAATAAATAATATAAGTTATTAATAATAATGGTGTGTGTGTGTGTGTGTGTGTGTGTGTGTATTTAAAAATTATATACTTATTATTAATAACACATACAAATTAAAATAATATATAAAGTTAATAAACTATGTACTTACAATATATAAATATGTAAAATAAAAAAATTTATATTATTTAAAAAATACATATATACTTATTTGTATTGTTTATTGCTAGTAAAAATAGAAAATGCAAAAATAAAAGTGCTCGTATAACATTTGAATTAAGAATATTGTTTATGAAGTGGACAAACAACACTTTCTGACGTTTTAAGCACTTCTTTAACTGAAGTTTTGTTGAAACGGCAAAAATGAGAAAAGGTTTGGAAATCTCATCTTTCAGAACTCAACACCACCTTCCCAATCTGAAAAGACCATGTATAAATAAAATAGCAAAAACAGGCAATTCAGAAATCACCATATTTGCAAAGATATAGAAAGGCTATTTTAAGTGGGTTCAGGAAAAAAAAGAAAATGAAGAGAAGTCCAGTATAGTAGCTGTAGAGGATCTCTCTCTCTCACCTCATAGCTCTGCCACCAGTTGGGGATGTTGGGTCGTAACCTCTGATCACACACCACTTTCCTCATCTCCTCTATGGATGGGTCAGAGGGCACCAGGTCATAGTAGGGCAGCTGGTACTCTTCATGAATACCTGAATGCAAACAAAACATAAATAAGAACAAAAATTATTCTCAGTTGAACTTTTAACTTAAAGACCTTCAAGTGCTTTTCTGTTCAATATTCCTTTTGAAACATGGTTTCAATTTATTTCAGCACCTCCAGCATTGCAGCGGCGAGCGATTTCCCAGTACACGAGTCCCAGAGCGTAGATGTCAGCGCATTTAAATGAGTCGAAGTGACGCATGTTAATAGTCTCTTCCAGAACCTCAGGTGCCATGTACCTGAAACACACACACACACAAACAGGATCACTGAAAGAACATATATTTGAAAACACAAACCACTGACCGTATGACAAGACGTTTTAGATCAGATTATTGTAACATCTATGTTTGTATGTGTGTTTTTCTTGGCTGTTAGGTCTGTCAGTAATGTACTCTGTACCTCTTAGTGCCGACACGCTGGTTGGGGGCGATATCGATGGTGTCGGAGACAGACTCGTGACGAACCGCCAGGCCGAGATCAGCGATTGCACACGTGCAGTTTTTCTTCACCAGGATGTTCTTGGACTTCAGGTCACGGTGAGCGATGCCAGGCTTACCTGATGACAAAGACTGAACCATTACAGATACACACACATCTGGTAAAAACTCTCTGACCACAGAAGAAAAGTGTTCCACATCCTCACGCGCTCCCACATACACAACATTTTTAGGCACCACGACTGTTTCAAACAGTGGGCTGCACAAGAACACAGCCTAAGTCACCACTGCATGTATCCTCCAAGGATATGACCAGCCCAGAATGCATTCAAGATGGCAGATGGAGTCAAGGGAAATATCAGTTTTAAAAATATCTGATTCTGTACTGAAAAGTTTTGATAAAAATAGTTTACCGACCCAATATGTGTGTGATCTCTGTTTGTGTTTATTAGTTGTCAGACTCTCCTAGAATCGACTGCGAGTGTAAAGTAAACTTTTCATGCAATTCACTTTAGCGAACACTGATAAATACCAATAATCAGCTTACTGAATTTTTTTTTTTTTTATAAGGTTAGTACGTTACTGTCGGCAAAATGTAATAATTTGTGCATCTGACGATGAGTATTCAATTTTACAAAAAAAAAAATGCTTAAGGCTTGAATATCTCCCAACCACTAGAATACAGAAATAACTTTTAATGTAGCTTCTGATTATGCTGCAAAAAACTGAAACTTAATTTTGTTCCATTTTTCAAGACTTCATTTTGTATTTGCATCTCGAGTAAATGTATCCTTATTTTAAGATGTTTAGATATTTGTATTAGGGGGAAAAGAAACATGAGGAAGAAATGTATTTTTTGAAAAGCATGCAACATTTAATGCCATGACTTTATGAATTTAACACTTTCGGCTTTGACTGAAGACCTTTTTAAGGCCTTGAATTGTGGAATGGTAAATTAAGACTTTTAAGATCTTTTTAAAAAAGACCCACAGAAACTTTGGACAAAGGAAGAATAGTTAATGTGACCACATGCATTGTTGGCTTATTAAGCATAATCAGGCTCCTTTAATCTTTTTATCAAATCACAATGCTTTTCATGTCTGATGTTTCTTTGTTCATTAGTAATTTAACAGCATGCCATCCTCCACGGCTATTTTCATGACAAACAACAAGTTAAAACAACAATAAAAGCCTGCGCCATCTGATGTGTTAGAAGTTAGCTCCCTATGTAGACAGCAAACTGGCTTACTAGGTATTGGAACGGACATAATTTAATCAAATAACCCCGACAAACTCACCCTGAGTGCCCAGTATCTCCATGTGCAGATGCGCCAGGCCGCTGGCAGCCGACAGCGCTAGTTTAATCATGCCCTCGATGGTGACTGAATATCGGTTCAGATAGTCAAACAGGGATCCATTCTCATGATAGTCTGACACCAACCACAACTGAGTCCATGTGCCATTATCTGTGACAGAGAGAATTAAACATGATTAAACCTAGATGACAACACTATGCATACTATAAAACACACAGCATATTCATTTGTTTACCTTTGTTGTCGGCAGCAATGAAGCCCAGGATGTTCTCGTGGCGGAGCATGATGGTCTGGTAGATTTCAGCTTCACGAAACCAGGAGCGCTCCTCACGAGAGGAGAAGATCTTCACGGCGACGTCTCCTCCTCTCCACTTCCCCCTCCACACCTCCCCAAAGCGGCCTTTACCGATGATCTCCTGCAGCACTATGGTACGAGCCACTGTCCTCTGGACGAACAGCGGCAGACCTGCAGAATCAATGAGAGAATAAGGCTTAAAGCTGAAATAAAAAATAAATGAAACCTAAATAGTGATATAAAAAAAAATAAAAATAATAATGACAAAGGACAAAAGCACATAACAAAACTACTAACATTTCAAAATATTTAAATATAAACTAGAAAAGTATATAAACAATGATAAAATAACACTGTGCATAAGTCAAACGAACTACTGTTATGAAACTTGGAGAACGGCAGCATTTTAATGGCATTTTGTTAGATATGTACATAGTGGAAAAACATATAAAATAGGACATATATAAAGGATATATTATGGAGTTTTTTTCCCTCCAGAACTCCATATTAACTCCACATTAATCAAAAAAAGACAACAAAAATTAAACTAGAATAAGCTATTAAAATGAAAATGATAATGAACAAAATCACAACGTGGTTTATGCATGTTACATCAGGGATATTATTGTTTTGTTAACTGAAATAAAGCTGACATATAATACAATATAAACAATAGATGAAAAACTAGAAAACCAAAATGAAATATTGCAACTAACTGAAATGTGCTTAGGTTGAAGCACTAAAATTACTAACTGAAACTTGACTAAAACTGAAATAAAAATATATTAAACCTAAATAGTATTGATTAAAAAAAAAAAAACACAAAAAAGAACATAAAAAAACCTGAACTAAAATTAAAACCGAAAATATAAAAATAAAAGCCCATTCTAAATATTAATAAAAACTATAATGGTATATTAATTCATCTATCAGATAAAAAAGAAATAAATAGGAAACTATAGTAAAGTAGAAGTAGTAATGTTGACTTGGCAACTATTATATTGAAAAAAATAAAACTGTAATAATAAAAAAAAAACTAAATAGCAATATTAAAAAAAAAACTAACAAAAATGACAAAAGCACACAAAAAAGTAAATTACAAAGAATACAATAAATAAATAAATAAAAGCCAATTCAAAATATTAAAAACTACAATAATATATAAATAATACTAAAATAACACTGTTGCATACATGCATAAACAAACCATACACCAAATTTTCTCCTGCAATACTAACCAGACCCAGATCCTGAAGTGGAGAGGTCGTAGATGAGGTCCTGTAAGGTCTTGTCCTTGGCCAGGAACATGTGTTCAGTGCTGGGATCCTCTACCTCCAGTCTCTGCCGGTGACCGTAGGCCCGCTGGCGGCGCTGGAACAGAAAGAGACCCAGCAGAACCAGCACACACAGCACAAAGATCGGCCCCGCCACCACTGCAGTGAGCTCCACCGGCCCCCAGTCCTGCCCTGAACCCGGTGCGTTTGTCACTGACAGAGAACACGCTGCATTAGTTCCTCATCTGGAATTCACTAGCTGTTTTTGATAATGATTATAGCTGATATAAAGAACTGATGCTCACCGGTTGGTAGTTTGAGGTCGATGCTGTTGCAGTAATCAGAGTAGCAACAGTGAGTGTTCAGCAGTCCCTCTGCACTGAGGCAGTAGAACGGCTGGCCCGGAGGAACCAGGTCCTCTTTCTGGATGCAGAGCCGCACATGCTGCTCCTGTCCTTCAATGACTGAGGTGGAGGCCACACACGCACCCTTGGTCTCGCACTTATACCCATCCTTCACACACTGTGGTGTGCTGCAGTTACAGAACAGAGCTGCACAGAGAACCAAAATTATATATTACATGTATATATTAACACTATAATATACAGTAAGAAATAATTGATGACGGGCCATTGAATTAATATTTGCCAGGTTTTTGTCCATAAATGCTCAGTGTGTAGGATTAATTTCTTAAGCATCTCATTCCACACCTTCGTTGCTAATTCTGAAATGTCATTTTAGAGCCAGTAACGGAGGCTTGAGCCGTTGATAGCAGACTAATGCAGTTATGAGAAAGATTAAGCATTTGTGAATCACCCGAATCTGCATCTCTCAACAGAGCCTGGCAAAAGCCTCTCTAATAGTGAAACTTGAGGTTCATCTGCTTCAAGGACAGCGCCATACCGCGCTAGTGAGAAATGTCATGTTGCCTGCTAAACTTTTAATTTGCTAAACTATTTTACTGATCAAATTGTCAGAGCAGCGCTAACAACACGTTTCTGTGTTCGTGTGTTTCCATGTGTGCCAGTACTGTATGTGTGTGCGTATGTACGGAAGCGAGCAGGAGAGAGAGAGAGAGTGTGCACTTTCTGTACATAATCATGTAATGTTGTGACAAGAAACATGGAAATAATTAGTCATTTTTGTCCTATTGTTTACTATATTTATTAGCTTGGTCAGTGTCACTGTGGGTTTTGGTTGTTTTGCTGTACGGACCTTTGAAATAACTGAAATCATGATCAATGATGCGGTCAAGACCCGCCTGGGTCTTGACTTTAGCTGTGCATTTCCCTGAAAATAATTGCACACCTTGGAACGTACGTCAGCCAATCAGATTCAAGCATTCAACAGCCCAGTAAGAAAATATACTAGCTATATTATAGCCACAATCTCAAACTGTTTGTGAATTTCTGTATTGTAGTGAATGGACTGCAGATGTGTCTTTTCAACAGCATGGGGTGGCAGAGATCAGTGGAGTCATACTGTGCACCAAGCAGTTTCATGTCTGTCTTTGTTGGGAGAATCCAGAAACAGTTGTTAATTTTTCCTTTTATGTATATGTATTTTATAAAAAATCCAAATACATTTTGATTGCATATATTACAATTATTATATTATGCATATTTTATAAAACAATGGACTTAATTTCTAACATTTATTTATATTTTTAATAAAATGGTTTAAAATACAGTTTCATGGCTGGTGAGATAAGTTGTCTATACGGGCTCATCCCCAGCATAAGGCAACTTCAGAAAGACAACAAAAAGCATGTGAAAATGTTCTTTATAATCAGTTTCATCTGAATGCCTCTAAAACAACTTTCATTTTTGGCTGCCATCAAGGCAAAACAAAGTTTCAAAGGGTGACTGTGGTATGGAAAACAATCAATTTTCATGATCCAATAATCTCCTGATTGATTAAATAAAGTCCCACATTTGTATCCTTGTTGGAATACTGCATAGGACAACATAAAACTGCATTATTTCCTCCCCTCCCACAATTATTCTTGGTTAAAGACTCATTCATCAGGTCTGTCCAAGAGCAGCCAGACAGAGACGATTCAATCAAACTTGAACCAGAGCACACGTAAATGGAGGATGTAGACGGTCAAAAGTGAAGAACAGCAGACCACACAGACTCAACTCATCTGAGCTGCCTTGAGCAATGAGAGATGAGAGCGATGGGCTGCAGGAGTATTCTAGAGATGTGCTTTGGGGAGATGCAATCTAAACACCTCCCCATTTTTGTGTTCATAAGAGAGAGTCTCAAGACATATTTTCTAAAAACTACTTTTAAACTTACCATTTCATCCTAAAATGATAAGCATCTTCTTAGAGATGGTTTTAAAGTGTTGATAGCCCAACTGGCCTCGGCCATGCAAGCATTTCACTCGCATTTGCGAATAAAAATAAATACGCAAACTGTAAAATTGATTTAGGAGCATGTGTGTGAATTAAAAAAGTCCCTCTGTTTTATGAAATTTTAGCTCAAAAAAGCCTTAACTATCTTAGATATTCGCGGATCGTGGTTTCAGAGCAATCAATTAAAAACATACATTTATTCCAAGCAATTACTTATAATGAAATTATGACAATGTTTAATTCTCGGTTTTTATATTGTAATATTTTGTAGACATGAATGAGCAGCCAACAATGCTAAAGCATTTCAAAATAAGAGACCTGGTGTATTTTGACAATATGCATATTGTGGAAAAAAGTAAGCATCAAACAGCTACTGTTGCAGGCTAAAAACCCTCTTCAAGTTGTTGCATCTCCAAATCCACTTTTAATGATCATGAAAGCCAAAGATAAAAATAGTCACTTGCTGACCTCACTGACCATCTTGACCCAACACTGGAGTTTTAAATCAGCCACCAACATTTACATAACACCTATTTATTTTCAGCATCTCTGCCTGCCCTGATAAATATTAACGTGAACTATGCCAGTACACTAAGCCAATTATAAAATGTTACATTAATAAAAACTATAAAAGATTTGCATACAGAAATCTAAAAAGTACTTCAGCAACAGCCTGTTTTATTACAAGGGTCAGAGGATATGAATAAAGTTTCTGGTACAGGAAACCATGACTAACAAACATGACTAGAGATTTCAGAGGAAAAAAAA